AAAAAGAGAGCATAATGTATAGAAGGGAGCACTTATTGCTTATCTTGCTGGCAAACTTACATAAGCTTTCATTTTATAAACTTTTACATAACAAGTAGACAGGGCTTAGACAAGTATCGTTCTCAGATGCCTACATACACCTAGTCACATATGTTTTGAGTGTCAACAATATTGCTATAACTTAAATAACTATTGTTTCCTTGACCAGTTACAAAGTAATCATTTAAGGCTTTATAACAGGTACTACCCTAATTCCTTTAAGACTGAGTTTCCACAAATAATAAAACCTCACAAATACAAGAAAATTATGTTGATAATAAGAGTAGATCTGTGTTTCAGATTTTTTTATATCAGTACATTCAAATTCAAATAACTCTGACTGTGTCACTTATAGCCAATTTAATCACAAACACAAACTTTTTGAGCTTTACCTTCCACAAACCTTCTGTGACTTAGACATTCACAACTTTACATGTAAGTTTCATCCCCTTTCATCTTGGACTTTAGAACAAGAATATCACTTAACCAGCCAAAATACTTTCTCATCCAGAAACATTTCTTTTACCTTTCAATTTTCCATACTAAAATGTATTTCCATACATATCCTTTTCTTTTATTTTTTTTCTAGTTTGTGACTCTTTCTTATATTCATATTGTGACACAGACTTTATGAATGTTATTTGTGCATTTAATTGACACACAAATTTCATCCCAGGAGAGGGTTGGACAAACCAGCATATACAAACAAAACAAAACAAAACACTGTGCCTTAATCTTTTTTCCTCCCACGTTGCATTCCTGGGGTTGGAGGACAGGCATTGAGTCTGACTGTCTGTCTCTTTCTCATTATACAATGCCCTCAGCGTTAAGCAGGTTCCTGCTGTCGGTGGTCCTGAGGCTCCTTTGGGGCCTTTTCCTCCACTAGCTCATGGATACGCCGTGGCGGGGCCTTTCCTCCGGTTTCGTAGGCTTCCCTGAGGATCCCTAGGAGGAGGCTGCCCATGAAGCACAGGTGGGCTTTAGTTTCTGCCCTTTTATTTTCTGGGTACAGCTGTCTATTCTGCCAGTGACCCAGGCATTTGGTCTGATGGGACAATATTACAGCAAGAATTGCTTTGCCCCCGTGATGAATATCCCCTGGCCAATGGGGTGTCCTGTCAGACCTTAGAAGGGAGACTATTCTGGTCCCCAGGTCATAAAGTGACAGTGCTGGAACCCGCTTTGTGGCCAACAGCCTCCCCCTAACCTGGGGCAAAGGGGAGGGACTGGGTGGGTCTGGAAGAAGGCCCCCTGCGGTCCCCAACACCAGGAGCCCTTGTCCTGGGGAAGGGTTCAGGGGGCGTTTGAACTGAGGCTTCCAGGAGGCAGAATTTTCCAAATGTAGTCAGAGTTGCACCCCTGCCCCCAGCTCTGCTTGGAAGCTGTTCCAGATCCGGGAGCCCCGCCGGGTGGAGCAGGGAGCAGCGGTTACTAGGGGAGAGCAGCCCTGAGAAGGCCCAGGGCTCCGCGTCCCAGGCCTGGCTGGCCAGACGGCTGGCCTCGTCCTACTGCAAGTCCAGCCCATGATCTGCCTTCTGTAAAGATCAAGAGTGTGACCTTGACCGTGGCACACCAGTCCTCCCTGTGTGGGGACACAGGCACAGGGCTTCACTGTCACGGGAGGCTGGAGAGACTATTTTATTTTTATTTTTTGGTACTAGGGGTTGAACTCAGGGCACTCAACCCCTGACCACGTCCCCAGCCCTCTTTTGTATTTTATTTGGAGTCAGGTCTCTCTGAGTTGCTTAGCACCGTGCTAAGTGCTGAGGCTGGCTCTGAAGTCATGATCCTCCTGCCTCAGCCTCCCAGGATTACAAGTGTGCGTCACCCCGCACAGCTGGAGACTCTTGACACTGCTCCCACCTCAAGTGACAAAGGGTGCTCTTCCTCCTGTGTTTGGAGGGCTGGGAGCTGTCACGTGCACAGTGTTCCTTGTGGAGCCCTGTGCTGGGGACATTTCCCACCTCATCTCCTGGGGCTAGGCTCCTCCCATGAGTCGGGAGCTTTCTCCATTCTACAGCTGCAGAGGTGAGACTCCTGGGCTCAGGGAACTCACCAAGGTCACGGTGTCTGAGACCAAGATGGCTGCGATTGGAGCCCAGGTGTGACACAGTTCCCCTCCCCCACAGCAGGTCCCAGAAGCCCACGTCGATTTTCTACAGACGAAGGGGAAAATGCTTTTTGCAGAACACTCCTTGTGGCCCATGAGCCTGGCCAGGCGTGGGATGGACGAGGGCAGGGGCTGGAATGCAGGTGAAGGACGAGCAAGAGGCACATTCAGTTTGCAGGTTACAAGTAACAAGCTCATCTTGGTCCGGTGTAAGCAAAAGTGACCATAAATTGAAGGCCGTGGAACTAGCTTGGGTTTTTAAATTATTTGTTCTTCCTTTTGATTGTTGGTTTTAGCACCAGGATTGAACCCTGCAGTGCTTAACCACTGAGCCACACCCCATCCCTTATTATATTTCGTTTTGAGACAGGGTTCAGTTACTTGCTTAGGGCCTCAGCAAATTGCTGAGGCTGGCTTTGAACTCCTATCCTCCTGCCTCAGCCTCCCGAGTTGCTGGGATTACAGGTGTGGTCTCTGTGCCCAGCTAGCTTGGTTGTTCTTATACTGCCCAAGTCACATTGCTTTAGTGCATCGTGAAGTCAGCGTAGTGGGTCTCAGTTGTCACAGGAGGAAGTGGCACAGAATGAAAAATACCAGTGTGTGTCGTAATAACGAGGACATGGGTATTGTTTCATGAAAACCGTGTGCCCGTGGCCACAGCTTGCTTAGGGGAACGTCTCTGTGCACGTGGTCACAGCTAGAGTGTCTGGGGTCTGACGTGCTCACAGAATCCAGGGAGAATCTACAGAGTATCAGGCAGCTCCAGGAGCAGGGTCCACGCCCATCGTAGGTCCCCTGCCACCCTTGTTATGTGTCCCCCTGCAGGTGGGCTTCATGGACAGCAGAGACCCAGTCTCCATCCTTCAGTTCATGTCCTCCCAGCCCTGGATTGTAGGAGAGAGAAGGGCGTCCCCCGCAGATGCAGTCAGGAGACTCCTGGGCAGGTCCCGGGGGAGGGGTCCATGGGTCCCCAGCTGGGGCTCCATTCCCTCTCCAAGGTCCTCTCCTCCAGGAGGAAATGGAGCCTTCATAAAAGGGGTGCCCTTGGACCAGGCCCCTGAGGGACGTCCTCCCCGAGGTCAGGAGTGGAACAGTCTGGCCCAGGGACCACAGGAAGAGCACTGTGCAAAAGGACACGTCGTCCCCAGCAGGTCACCCCCCAGGTGGGCACCTGGGTGTCCTCACTGAGCAGCCCTCTCTGCTCCAGCCACAGGGTCCGTTTCTGATGTCACCACCTCTCCAGGGGGCTCTGGAAGCGACCCTGTGGCATTGCTCCCCGTCCCTCACTGAGAACGGTCCCTCTGCAGCTCCCTCCCTGGCATCAGGACCTCTGCCCTGCTGGGTGATGTCATCTCCTCCAGGGAGCCGCTGGGGGGGCCAGGACAGAGTCCACAGGCCCTGGAGCCCCTGCCAGGGACCAGCCCACCAGCCCTGCCTCCTGCAGGGACAGGAGGTGGGCTCTAGCTGGGTGGTCAGGGACCCGTGGTCACATTCCCATCAGGAGACAGAGGAGGAGCCCACCTGCAAGACTGAGCATGGGACGTGGGGCTCCTGCTGAACCCCAGAGCCGCCCCTCAGCCAGGAGAGGGCCGCGTCTTCCCCGTCCCTTCTCTCTGCACTCGGCGCCCAGCACAGAGGGGCTGCTGGGCCAGCGGAGCCCAGGTGCACAGCCCGGAGCACCCGGGGTTCACGTCCACTGGCATGGAGGTCACGCAGGCCCAGCGTCCACTCTGGCCAGGCCTCTGTGGGCACAGCAGGTGGGCAGAGCGCCCTTTGGGGAAGGGACTTTTGAGGCAGGAGGATAAGCTGTGGAATCTGGTGACAGAGGGGTGGTGGGGCCAGGAGAGGCCAGCTGGCCAGAGAGAAGGAACAGGCAGGTGCAGGACATCACAGAGCTGACACAGGACAGAGGAGGGCTGTCCTTGCGACCACTGATGTCTTAGCTGGTCTCTGCTGACCCACCTCAGGCTCTGCCTCAGCTGCTTGATGGGTTGGGGGTGGGGAGGGGGTGTCTTTTGAGGACTGTGAGGTCACCCTGCTGTGTCCCTGGTCTGCAGTGAGAACTGAGGCTAGGAAGACGGTGATGTGCCCAAGGCCAAATGTCAAGGTGGGGGGTGGGGGAGGAAAGAAAGAAAAAACCAAACACGGGCAGAGTGGCCGCCTTGTGGGTTCCCTGGCTGGACCCTCCCTGGGCTCCGGGCTGGAGGGTTGGGAGCTGGATTCCAGGGTCAACCCTACAGTGTTCTCTGACCCGACGGCAGGAGTTCCACGGTCCTCTCCCAGCGCCACAGTGTCCAGGGCTGTCTCTGGCCCCCGCAGGGACACTGGCCAGGGTATGACGTGTTCACCAGCGTGTGGCCTCGGCCAGCAGCCAGGAAGGGAACCTCCGCCCAGGCGCAGCCCCACCCTGAGGCCCAGACGCGGCCCAGATGGTTTTTCACTGAACACTTCTCCAGATGGTCCCAGAACCCGGGCAGCGCCGGTCCAGAGACAGAGGTGTGCCTGGGATCCCCAGGGCAGGGCCGTCCCTTGGCTGTGGCAACGCACGGTGAGGTCCCTTCTACTTGGAGCCTGCATTTTTCCATCTATGTTGGGTTGACTGGTGACCCCAAAAAGTCATGCTGAAGCTTGCCCCCTGGGGACCTGTGAATGGAACTTATTTGGAAACAGAGCTTTTGGCTGATGTCATTAAATCAGGATGTGAAGATGAGATCATCCTGGATGTGGGAGGGGCCATAAATCCGATGACAGTGTCCTTCAAAGAGTCGAGGAAAAAATGACACAAAGACACGCAGTCGCAGTCGGGAAAGTGAGGGGGAGGGCCACAGGGAGGGGAAGACCTGGCAAACTCCCTCCCAGCCCCCAGGGACGGCGATGGTCGGAAGCAAATTCTCTTCTGGGACAGCTTGTCGCGTGTCCTAGTGGGCCAGACGGGACAGCAGGCAAACCAGCCCCTGCAGAATCCACAGCAGGCTCCTGAGAGCCCGGCGCGTGGCGAGCTCAAAACCGACCTGGAGGGTCCGTCCTGTGTCCTGCAGAGGCTCCCAGGGTCTGCAGAGCACCCCACTCCCCGCAGTTCCCCCAACACTTACAAGCCCATGAGAACCCCTTCTCCAGGACTTGGGGGACGGCCCTCTTGGAGTCTGGCCCCTCCTCTCTTGGGAATGGAACGTTTTACCGCTAATTTCTCTCTGCAGATCGTGCACCCCGCGAGCGCCACCCGACACCAGGCACCTGCGGCACCCTGACCTGCACCTCTGGCCTCCCGGCTGTGGCAGCACAGGCTTCTGAGCCACCAACCTGTGTCCGTCGGTGAGGGCACCTAGAGAGCGCCCCTGCCATCTGAGAGTGTTTTTGACTGGGGTCTCTCAGGGGTACAGAGGCCAGGCTTGACCTTCACCTCTGCCCTGGGAAGCTCCTGGCTGAGCTGGCACTGGGTGGCTGTGCTTGCACCTCCCACCTGGTGCCCTTCTGCAGGCAGAACCTGGGCAGGGGGGGGGACAGCAGCCGGGACCCGCAGGGTGCAGAGCCAGGCAGGCGGGTGTCGCCCTGGCTGGGCCCACTCAGGGGGCTCAGACCCCCTTGCTGTGGCATCTTGTCTAGGGTGGCACTGGCTCTGCAGAGGGGCTGTGGGGGGCTGGGTCTCAGCTGAGGGGTGGCCCTGGTGCAGAGCAGACCATCTGCCAGGTAAGAGCAAGGGGCGGACGGGAAGGACTCGCAAGGGCCAGGGCTCTGCAGGACTCGGAGGGGAAACCGGAAACCGCGCCGGCCTCCTGGGAGGCTACGGCAGGGGGACAGAGTCCCCCCAAATGACCAGCAGCCCCTGCCTTCCAGGGTTCTGTGGAACGACGTGGAGTGGCCTAGTGTGAGGCGGAGCCTGGCTCCTTCGAGGCCTGGCTGTCCCGGGGAGGCTGCTTGGATGGCAGCTGGGTTCCAAAGGGTCAGCTTCCTTCCGAGTCTGTGCCCAGGGTCTTCGGCCACTGACTGCCGAACGCAGGGCAGCAGAGAGCTCAGCCCTGGGAAAAGTTCCTCAGCCCCTGGGACTTTCCTGATGTAGGGAGAGATAAGATCCACGACCGGGCTGCTGCTTGGCAAGTGGGAGTGTGATGATGTCTCTGAATGACACAGGAGTTAAAACAAAGCCATCCAGGCCACAGAGAGCACTGACCGCACACCTAGTAGGAGGTACAGACATCAGGAGGAGAGCAGGATGGGAGGAGAGAGGGAGCTTGCTTCTCGGTGGGTAATCAGGGAATCGAGATTAATAGGAATCTTTTGAAAACAAGACACAAGTCTAACTCAAGTTCCCTGTGCACAAATGGGCACGTTTGGGTTCCTGTAACTGTTGCTGAACTTTGAACAGGCAAGACACACTCCTACCTCAGGGCCTTTGCACTTCCTTCTGGTGGGACTCTTTCCTCCCTGATAGCTCCATGGTTTCTCCTTGATCTCTCTGGATCTTTATCAAACAAATTTAAATTACATTTTAAATTCTCCTTTAAAATGAAGTTTAAACATTAAATTACTTAAATTTACAAACAGATTCCCTACTTCCCCTCAACTCTCCCTATGCCCACCTTTGAGCCAGTCACTGCAGTTGAGAGTCAGGATCAGCCAAATGCAGTGAATTCCAGTAGGAAAGAAAGGGAGAGGGTGCCAGGGAGGCAGGAAAACAGCAGAGGGCTCAGGGGAGGGCTTCTGGAGAGAGTGAGGCCTGGGACCATGGTTGGGATTTGACCACAAAGCCACAGCTTTCTACAGCTACGGTTGCCTTCCTGTCCAGCCTCACCTCCCATCCCTCAGGGGCCTGCTCCTTATGATCCAGCCATACCTGCTCTATATACCCAGGTGAAGTTTCCACTCCGATGCTCCTTTGCTCTTCCTCTTGCCGGTTTGACCATTCCCCTCTCTTCAACAGCTGGGCTCCTTCTCCATACCCTGGAAGAGTTGGGTGTCACACACTCAGAGACACATGCAGGATCTCAGCTACATGCTTGCATAAGGACACCCAGACACACACTCTCGCGCGCACACACACACACACACACACACACACACACACACTCTTCTCCGCCAGGCAGTGTAGACCTCAGCTGCAGAAGAAAGCCCTGCCCCTGACACCTCCCTGGTGCCTGGCTGGCGGAGCTCCAGGGATGTCCCTGCCGCCCTCTGCTGAGCTGGGCTCTTGGGGAGGGCGTTTAGTACCGAATGCGGTGGCGCCTGGTACTGCAAGGGCGCTCAGCAGCCACCGTGCTGAGCAGGACGTTCAGTTTCTGCAGGAAAGAGAGGGCGGGGCGGAGGGGGTGTCTGGGGTGCTGGGCTCCCGTGGAGCTTGCTGGAGGGACCCGCAGGGAAGACCCTCGAGGGCGCACTTTGCACAGATGTGCGGGGGCAGGAGAGACCACAGGCCAGGCAGGCGTGTCACAGAGTCCCATTCCAGGGCACAGCGGGAGTAAAGGGCCTTCCGTTGGGTCTGAGTGACGCCCCCTACTGGCTTTTGCCACCCAAATTCTTCAAGTTCAAATTCTTCAAGTTCAAAGTCATTCCCATCCGCTGCAAGCCCCCCTCCCCACTCCCCCAGGACAGTCCACTTCACAGGACTTCTGGGGGGGCCAGGCTGCCTCCTCGGGGCTTCCTGGTCATGCCACGGGCCATGGGATTCCCTACTGCCCTTAGCAGCTCCGGGCGACTCTCCGGTGAGGCTCTGGAGACTCAGCCCTCTCCCAGCCCCTTTCTCTCCCCGTCTCCCACAGTTCCCCAGCGGCCATACAACATGCGCTTGGAGAATCCAATGTTTTCCTGTCTCAGGGGACAGCTGTGGCAGACGGGGCTCTGTGCTCACATCCCTGTCCCTGGGGCAGAAAGGCCTCACTCTTGCTCCTCCCTCCATACTGGCAGGGCCGGGCTCATGGAAAGGGCTGAAATGATGAGCAGCTCCTAGAACGTCTTCCATGATCCCCTCATTTCTGTCTCCTGTTTCTATCTCTGGGGATACAGAAGGTGCCGGAGTCTTTGGGGTCCTTGGAGACCAAGCCCAGGTCCCCGAGTCACTGTGTGAGCAGAGCTCTCTTCCTGCACTGAGAACTATGGAGCCACTGAGATGGGGGGTGTTTGTTACAGCAGCTGGAGTTGCAGTTAACACACCAGTGAGGCCACTTTTCCCCCATCTCTTGCAAACCTGGAGCAGGAGAAGCCTTCAGCTATCACCTCCACCACGGCCCGCCCCCTCTCTCCTCCTATGCAGACCTGACCCTGTGGCTTTCCTCCTTATAGATCTCCCAGGACTCCCAGTGACCTGGGTAGTTTCCTTCTCCACCTCCTCTCCCCAGTTCCTAAATGCTGGCGTCCCCCAGTCCTCCTGTTTCCCTGACATTCTCTGCCCCCTCCTGCGCCACCTCCTGGGCACTGATCCCCCCTGCAGCTAATGCACTAGTGGGGGACGCAGGAACCCAGGCTTCTCCAAGCTGCCAGGTAAACTCAGGCTGTGGTGTGAGGCGACCCGGGCAGGAGGGGGAACACACCCGACGGCCGAGACCTAAGTCCAAGTCATGCTGATGGCAAGAGCAGGAATGTCCCCGCGGACCACGTGGGTTTTTAAGAAAGAAATGACTCTACTGCGCGGGGGCTGAGTCT